TTTTTTAATTATGGAAATGACCACGAAATGAGAATTTGAAGTTTTGGATATCTCGATACGGTTCTGAGTTTTCGAAACACGGAATCATGAATTGCGAGAAATTTATGTGCGCGCTTTATATAGTTTCATACAAACTCTAATCATATACCCCTTTGTCGTTCGTGTCTGAAATTCTTGTACTCCCATTTTAGACGCTGCTACATAAAGTTGAAAAATGCTAGAAGTACAAACACACTTACAAAAAAACTTACAAACAAGTGATGTGGCTATTTTAATTACCATTGATGTAAAAGTGTTTTAAATGTGATGTGATGTGTTAAATAATGTGATGATGCCACATACCTTTTTTGTAAGACTTTTTGTAAAAGTTTTTGTACCTCTAGCATAACTCCATAAAGTTAGCTTCCTTACTTGGTAAATAATTTTTTTAACAATTTACTCTACTACTTTCATGTAATATTGATTATACAATGTCAAACAGTGTACTCTATAGTAATATGTAGGGGTAATTTGAGTTTGTGCCCCATTTTATTGTCCAAATTGGACTTTGCACCCCATTTTTAAAAAGCATTGTGTTTCGCACCACGACCCCGTGTGAAAAAATAAAAATACCCTCAATCAAGAATATGTTGAAGGCCAAAAATATTGTTAATGGAGGGACAATTTTGTCTTTTCATATGGGTTGGGTGCAAAAACAAAGTTTTTTAAACGGGGTGTAAAGTCCAATTTGTACAATAAAATGAGGTAAAGACTCAAACTACCCCTAATATTTACTCTCATTAAAATGACATTTCAAGAAACCAAACAACACTCCAATTTCCTTAATTTTTATTTAAAAGCTTAGGAACATTTAGAGACAAATGAGTATTTATTACTGCCTCCGTCTCATTATTTTACTTGGTTTACGTTAATTTTCTTTTTGGATTGTCCTAAAATAATAAGTGTCTTGTTTTCTTTTTCAAAAGAAATATATGATCCAGATCGACCTGAAACCCGGTGACCCAGACAAAAACCCAGTTCGGTTAGTTAAAAACCCGGAAATGGTCAAAAATCGGAAAACCCCGAAAAACTCGGGAAATCCCGGGTTTGGGTGGTTTTCCAAATTATATTATAAATATCAACTCGATCATGTCAAATTATATTATAAATGTATAATACAAATAAAAAACATCATTATATATTCCAAGTGGATTAAAATTGTATTTTGAAATATTATGAAAGTGTATTAAATGCTTAATAAGTATCATACTATCATCATTAGTTGATTTTTATGAATAATAATTAACTCCCTTTTATTATAATTTTGTATATAATTATATGTTTTTTATTATTATAATATGGACGTATAATCATTGACCGGTTTTCCGGTATTGATCGAGTTGACCCACCAGGTCCGGGTTGGCCCGTGACACAGTCATGTGGCCGTGTCGATTTCGATCCGTTTTTTAAACATAGGTATAAATGAGTATAATAAAAATTTCAAATGAGTATATAATTATGAGTATATTGTTTAAAAAATGACAGTTTAAAAGAAATCTGTATTGGTATGTCATTATAAAATGCTCACAATAAATTTGGTAAGTCTACATTAAAGAATTACAAATTACTTTCTTAAGAAGGTTTTGTTGTCATTACTAAAGCTACTAATAATTGAATAATGAAGCTAGTTATATTAAGTTGGTTTGTAATGAATATATTACATGTTTGGTTTATAAAAATAATTTTCATTTATGCTTAATTAGGTGAGTAGCATGTTTAGAAGAAAACTGCATTGCTATGTATGCACCCCGTTATTGGTAGATATTTGACTCTGTAAGCTCCTTTCAAAATCATTAATGTATGCACCCCATTTCAATATAACATCATTTGACTTTTCACCCTATTCCTTCACAATTTTGGGCTGATAAGATGCACACATTAATGATTTTGAAAATGTGATGCAAAGTTTAATATCGCGCAAAACATGCGTGCAAATTCAATTCAAATTACTGCAATTATTAATAAGCACAATAAAGATTTAAAATGAACTAGTAATACCAGCATATATACTACATAAAAAAATGAGCATTGATGTGATATTATAAAACGAGCACAACAAAGTTAATACAATTATGAATCACTTTTCTTAATGAAATTATTATTTCATGCAATATATATTGTTATTTGGACTCGAGAGGTTAAGTCATGTGCATGAATTCCTCAATCCTTCCAGACTTAACTTTATGGTATCGTACACTTGTGAGATAAACACATTGCGTTTAATATGTTTATGTTACTCAAAATGAGCCAAACCTTATCATTAGAACGTGCAGATAATTAATAGTCTCTCATGAAATTATAACAAAATAATTCACTTGATTGTTAAATTTTCATTTTTAAAGTAGAACTCTCCACTATAAAATTGAATGACAATTGTTGAGTCATATGAGGCTCTATGAAAACTTTTTTTATTGAGTAGGTGTTGTGGCCTTGTGTTCACTATTATTAAGATTTTTTCAAGTCCTTGATCAAATTGGGCAAGTTCTTTAATTAGTCATTCCAAAAAGACTTGTCACTCTTCTTTTATGGAGACCAAAATTTGTTTATATTGTTTCTCTTTATAAAGGTTTTAATGACACAGTTTCTAGTTTTTAATTGCTTGTTCCAATCAAAACCAGCAAAACAGCGGGACTGTGGAAGTAAACAGTAAAGGTTATAGCGTCTCATTCTTTAAATCTGCAAACGTTTTGTGTAAAATAGTTTTGCACGTCTTATCCCATCTAATATTACTTATCTCTATTTCATACCTAAGTATGAAAATGGGCATCGCAGCAAGAAACAATTTTTTTTTCTTTTTTTTGAAAGGAAAAACCATTTATACTAATATAATTATGAATCGGATCGTTACAACAAACTCAAAGAGATCAACACTGATAACAACTATATGTAACCAACTAGCACTATCAACCCCATATCTAGACTTAGAAATGATCACCCCTAAAAGACAATATGAATCGTTGACCACTAAATGAAAGTGACGCAACAGTTACTGGTCATATAGATCCTTCTAATGACATAATATCTAGAAGAGTTATCAATTATTATTGTAAACCTAAAACTAAAGACATCAACAACAAACAGAGCAGCGTAAACAAACATAACGCGAAAGTAAGACCATAAAAAATAAAATAACTAATAAATATTTCAAGCTTCTTCCTATAAGTATTTTTGACAAACCCTAGCACCTCGATCACACCATGGTGGCGGTTCAGGAGGGAGGCGGACCGCCAATATGTTTTTTCCCTTGCTCAGGACTCGATCCAGAAATTACCTCACTCAAGCACACCCAATCGCCTCCACCTTGAGGTGAAATCCATCCAAACAAGCCCCAATCCAGTCACCCCATCCATTTGTCCCCTGCGCCCAACACAACCCCACTCGCCCCCCTCCAATGGTCAAGCCAAGCAGAACTGACCAGACGATTTCCCAATCGAAGGTATCAATGACAGACCTCCAGATTCAATCCATATGAGCACACCTAGAAGCGTAAACCATAGAGAAGCACACCATGAAGAGACAAGGCGTGGTAACAACCGCTCTCCTACTGTTGCTCCAAATCATTCACCGGACAAAGAAACGGCGCAAACCGCCTGCCGGAAAAACAAGCCCTAAACAAAGGCTATGGAGAAGATCACAAAGAAACGGCGCAAGTCTTAATTATTACATTACCACCGCGCGGAAAAATGGTTTATAAAAACTACAGGACATGAAGCGTGGGAGAAACATGTAAAAATTAAAATATATAAAAATACGTTTATAAATAATTTTTCATAAATGTAGAAATATTTTCCGTTTATATATATGGTTTTACATATAACTTTGTTATATGTATAAATAAACATTAAATTTTTTTATTTATAACTTTGTTGGATAATCAATAGTTTTATGGATGGGATGAATAGATTGGGTCTTGTTTGGATGGATTTCACCTCAAGGTGAAGGCGATTGGGTGTGCTCGAGTGAGGTAATTTCTGGATCGAGTCCTTAGCAAGAGAAAAGACATATTGGCGGTCCGCCCTCTTCCTGAACCGCCACCCTGGTGTGATCAAGGTGCTAGGGTTTGTCAAGAATACTACAGGAAGAAGCTTGGAATATTTATCAGCTATTTTATTTTTTATGGTCTACTTTCGCGTTATGTTTGTATACACTGCTCTGTTTGTTGTTGTGTCTTTAGTTTTAGGTTTACAATAATAATTGATAATTCTGCTAGATATTATGTTGTTAGAAGGATCTATATGGCCAGTAACTATTGTGTCACTCTCATTTAGCGGTTAAGGATTCATATTGCCTTTCAGGGATGATCGTTTCTAAGTCTAGCCGTAGCCGTAAGATTAATAGTGCTAGTTGGTTACATATAGTTGTTGTCACTGTTGAAATAGAGAAGTAATATTAGAGAGAATAAGACGTGCAAAACTATTTTAGACAAAATGTTAGCACATTTAAAGAATGAGACGCTATAACTTTTAGTGTTTACTTCCATAGTTCCTCTTTTTTGCTTGCTTTGATTGGAACAAGCAATTAAAAAGCTAGAAACTGTGTCGTTAAAACATCTATAAAGAGAAACAATATAAACAAATTTTGGTCTCCATAAAAGAAGAGTGACAAGTCTTTTTGGAATGACTAATTAAAGAACTTGCCCAATTTGCCACACAAAAATGAGCACAGCTGCACAGGGGGATATATATAGGAGTGGAAATTATATTAAGGACTTGAAAAAACCTTACATAGTTACATGCATGAGCCGCATGACTGAACTTTTCTCATTTTTAACCTATTTCAAGTTTGCCTGATTCAGTTACCAGGGTAGTAGGGTGTAGGCAGGGGCGGAGCCAGAGCACTGGGCCACACTGGGCCGGTACAAAGAATATTATTGGAAAAAATTTACACGAAATTTTTTGCACAAAAAATATTGGATTTTTTTTTAATTTGGGCTGGGCCAACAAACTTGCATGGCGTATATGTTAAAAAAGCAACAAGACATTCAATAAGCTCTTTTACCGAAGCTGTTCATCAGTACATCAGACCAAAACTTTGCCCTGAATTGGGTTGGGTTGCCCGGCAACCGGGTTGCCTCCACCTAACAAAAACCGGGACACAAGAACAACCTCAAGCAGACAAAAGCAACCATCACTTTCTTAATTAAGGTGCAGGTTTATAACAGAACAAAAGCAAGGGAAAGCACAAGTGTTTGTGTGACAAGAGAAGAAGACAACAAAAATAATCTTGTAGCTAACAGGCTGCTAAGAAAGTTAATTACACTAGGCTGCATAATGATCATCATAACTTTCGCTGTGTTTTCCATCTTCTTCTCTCTCCCGCTCTCTATTATATATTCCCAGTTTCCGGATTTGTCATCAACCCACACCGTTATAGGAAGGCTCCATAGGTAAATATAATGTACTGTTCAAACCCCGCCATTCCCCGCCTCGCCCAACAAAAAACCACAGTACGGACAGCTGTTCCTGAGGTTAAACTGTTTATAGCTAACTTGTTCTGCTTCAGAGCCCCAAAAATATATAGTAGACCAAAGTTATTGGTAGAGCAACTAACATTCCAAATATAACCCTGCAATACAGAAGATACAACCAATAAGTAGAATTCGTGGTTTTTGTCCTATTTACCAAACAGCTTCTACGGACACTTGTTTCAAGTACACTTCAGTTTCTAATATCTAAGAGATTCTCACCCCGTGCTTAATATATCGGGATGGACATTGTATTCCTTTGCAAACACGAAAGGAACGATTCCTTGTGGAAGGGCAGCCTTGGAAATAAATAAAAACTCACGTTAAATGGATTCTGATATTAATACTTTTAATAAACAAAAAAAGAAGCAGCTTCATGCACGAGTTAGCTGATCAATGCATATTTGCATTGCTTTACCTGAACGATGGCAACATGAAGCAGGACACCTCGAAGGCCAACAGCAATGGAGGAAGCAGCCATGACTGCAGGTCCAATAAGAAACCTAACACCCATCGAAAATGCAGCAACTCTCTTCCCACAGGCAATGATTCTAGGTTGCAGAGCCATGAATAACCCTGCAATCCAATGTACGATATATTCCTTAAAGTATATACATCAGAGGTATCTTGTGCAGGGGAGGGGGTTCTAGAAAATGCTATGCAAAGGGGAATGAGATATAAGGGTAGGTTTGGAACTCACAAAAAGCTAGAGGGAAGAATTTAGAATGAAAAGATTATGGAGAGAAATAGAACATTGGTTCAAACTCGATAAACTTGATTTTGATATATGACCAAAATGACCATCCATTTTACTTTAGCTATTTGTATTTTAGAAAAACAAAAATTCTAAAAAATGATTTTTTTTCTTTAAAGAATGTTAATCGTAAGGAGTGCATGGAGTGCAAGTTTGGTGGAGGTAGAAGTAGTGGTAATAGCGGAATTACTCTGGATGGTAAGGAGATACCAGTCAGCGATATGTTCCGTTACTTGGGCTCCATAATTCAGAAGGACGGTGAGTTAGATGGAGATGTATCCCATAGAATTAGAACAGGGTGGATGAAGTGGAAGAGTGCGTAAGGATTTCTATGCGACCGAGGTATGCCGACTAGACTGAAGGGTAAATTTTATAGGACAGCAATTAGGCCTGCATTACTGTATGGCGTAGAGTGTTGGGCGGTGAAACAATGTCACATTCAAAAGATGAGTGTGGCAGAGATGCGCATGCTGCGTTGGATGTGTGGGCATACTAGGAAGGACCGTGTGAGGAATGAGACAGTCAGACAAAGGGTGGGAGTAGCACCTATTGAAGACAAGATGCGGGAGTCGCGCCTACGGTGGTTTGGTCATGTGCGTAGAAGACCGAGTGATGCACCTGTTAGGCGAGTTGAGATGTGTGGAGAAGAGGCAGGGAAGAGAGGGAGAGGAAGACCCAAACAGACGTGGGTTAGGGGAGTTCGAAGTGATATGCTTCTTCTGGGGTTGGATGAGGGCATGACTTTGGAGAGAACTAAGTGGAGGGCGGGTAATCACGTGAAGAAGTGATCTTGATAATCTTTTTCCCTCATCTTTTTTTTTCCTAGTTTTTTTTATCCTTATATATATATATATATATATATATGCATTATTTGCAGCCTTTTTATTTTATCATTTTTATATATATTCATCTTTTTTATATTATCTTTTCATAATAGCTTATCTTTTTATCTTTATTCCTTCTTTTCCTTTTGGTTGTAATATCATGTATCGATTCATGTTAGCCGACCTCAATATCTTTTGGGACTAAGGCTTGGATGTTGTTGTCGTTGAAAGAATGTTAATCGTGAAGGGGAGCCTTGGCGCACCGGTTGCGGTGTTATTGTGTGATTGAGAGGTCACGGATTTAAGTCTTGGGGAGTTGGGGGCGACCCTCTTATAAAAATGATATGGAAAGTTTTGCTCCTCATACACCCTTGTGGTAAGACCCTTCCCCGCGCCACCCTTTAAAGGTACTTCCTTATGTCGGGTTTTACCTTTGAAAATCAAATGAAAGATGAATGATTCTTTCACTTTTTTTGCTATGCATGAATTAGATTTCTTAATCTTTATACAAGAGAAATAAATATTTTACCGAAACTAAGTGGGGATTCTAATAATAGATATCATATGTAATGACTAATGAGTAATGATAAGCGAACATTAAATAAGGACATTGTAGGCCGGCATTAATATGTGACAGATATTCATTGGATAATCAAAAGTTAGACCGGTGATCATCACCCTATGAATGTGTGCCCGGAACCTTTACAAAGGGAACATACCAAGACTGAACATTGCCATTCCAAGACCAGCATCAGATAGAATGGATATTGATTTTGCTATAATGATGGGCATCTCAACATCCCACCTGAAAGGATTTTCACGCAACCATAAGAACCGGCATATACGTGAACATATTTGACAATTTGTTTCAACTTACTTGAACGAAACCAAAGACCAAGTGAGGCCGATGAGGCTGGAGTAGGTATTTGGGTTCCGGATGAGTTTCCTCCACACCATGATAAGAATAAGCCTGGACATGACACTTGTAGGGGGCATGGCAGATGGCTTTGGGGCATCACAGGCTGCTGTCTTGGGGCATAGCTCAGTTGTAGAGCAGCTTGAACCTAGCTTTGATAGAACTGGCCCTTCCTTCCGTTCATTTCCATTCACCGTATTTTTCCGTTTACCGAAGCTGAATTCATCCCGCCCAAAATCATCATATTCTAACAGATAGAAAACGACAATAAATTGATCAAATGTGGGTGAAAAGAACACCACAAAGTAGTCGACGAGTAATTGGATCACAAAGAACACAAGAACTGCTCCAAAAAACTGAAAGGAAGCAAGGGAATGTTGGCATGGTACCATGGGTTAACTACATTCACCTCCTTTCCGCCTTGCAGTTTGGTCAAATTACAAAATGTTCCCTGAAGTTAAAGTATTACAAACACCCTTTGAGCAGCCAATTCGTTCGCAGAAGACATCTTTCGCACCAAAATATGACAAAATATCATGTTGTTAACATGACAACAAATGCTTTGGACTGAACTTTTGATTTTATTGTTGCATCTTATTGATAAAACTGTAAACATTATTTTCATGAAAAATAATACAGAGTACTACGTAATTTGGAACAAAGGTAGTAAACTAGTCCTACAAAATACCTCAATGGCTCAATCCTACTAATAATATCATAATGTTCTATCATCTTTTGTACGGAGTAATCATTTAAGGATTGTTTGACTTGTGAATGGGATAATTTGGGATTTTTTGAAACCCAGGTGCTTATTTGGTAATTTGACAAGGCCATGAGGAAAATAAATGGATATTTAATTTACCCTAGTTCTAATTGAAATTTCAAAGCAACACTGCTGCAATCTGTCACAGGAGAAGACAAATATATGAAAGGCAATGCTAGCATATGAACTTCACAGGGAAAAGAAGACATAACAAACAAAACCAGTTCCCCAAAACATCCAAAGACATAAAGAAGAAAACATCAGGATTCATCATAAACCCAATAGAAGTGAATATCACGGAATAACATACCAAGAATTCAAAAATGTATTAGTAAAGTACTCAAAAGAGAGAAAAAGAAAGACCTTTAGGGTGAGGCCCAATCCCAAGAATTTCTTGACCATAGTCACCTCCCTTGAAGACATTAATCCCACCTTCAGACACAGGTGAAGCACTTGAGCTCCAAACAAACATGTGAAGGTCTTTCCCACCACCACCCTCAGACCCATTGACCTTCTTCTTTAAGCTGGAACCAGTGACTGAAGAAGAGACTAATCCGGTGGTGGCACTGTTTGGTGCCGTGTACCCAGAAGAATTCACCTTCCCCCCTAACCCACACTCCTCATCAAACCCTGAATTCCCAAAATTGGATCTCCTGGGACTGATACTATTATTATTGAGGGTTGCATTCTTGTTCCCATTCAACATTGAAAAGAAATCAGTGTGGTTAAAGCTGGAACCTCTTGGGGTAGGGTTTCTTGAGGACTGGAGGGAGTAAATCTCAGCATTGGTGAGGTTTGAAGGTCTGGGTGTCAATGAAAGGGCAGCAGAGTGGGGGCCATTGGATTTTCTTGAAAATATCTCAGACCTAGATGTGGTTGACCTTCTCACTGTCACATGAAGCTTCCCATCCTCACCCAACTCAGCTTGGGTTTCCAGTGGCTCTTTCCCATCCAGTGACATAACATCTGAATCCACTTTGAATGAGACTATAGAGGCAGCAGTGTCAGGGAATTGCTCTGAAATGAGCAACCTTGCTCCTCTATACTCAAACAAGAAGAGCATCAGAGTATACCAGATAATGCACTGAAGTACAACAATCTGGACCATTAGCCCCCCAGAGAACTCCCCGTACATGCCCTTCAACAATGGAATCCCCATAACAAGGGTGTTGGGGAGAGTGGAAAGAGAGAAAAGAGTGATGGACCATTCCAGGGATCCTGTGGAGCTAGTTCTTGACCAGATGAGTAGACCCATGAGGACGATGAGTTTCTGAAGTGCGTCGGCTGCTATGAATCTGTAGTTCATGGCGTATGGATTGTTGGTGGAGATGAAGTGGAAAGATAGAAGAGGGACAGCAAAGAGAGCTACGAATCTGTTGATCCCAGAACACTGGTCTGGGGTGAAGATCTTCCACCATTTCACTGACCCGTAGGCCAAAATCATGGCGACGTACAGTGGAACCACCGCTGTCAGAACATGGTAAAGGTCTGAAATTTTTATCATTATTCCTTTTCTTCTTCTCTTCCAAGCAGGTCTCTCTCTCACTCTCTCTCAGTTTGCAATTTTGTAGTGAAGACCCAAAGAACAAAGTAAAGAAGTTCCCTCCCTGAATAGTTGTTTCCTTTTGTTTCCGAAGAAACTTTTTGAGTGTTCTATGTCTTGTCACATGTGTGCTAAAGAACCGACCTGGTTTTTGTCTTTTGTATATTGCTTGTTAAGGATAGCAGAGGCAAGAGAGAAGAATCATACCCAGAGCCAGAAAATGGAATAAGAGAGGTGATTTGGAAAGAGACGAGTGAAGCTGATGTTTTGGGGGTGAAGACAGAAGTGATGGGGGTTATATCTGTGGCATATAAATGGCGGACAGGGTAGTAAAAAGTTAAGGTCTTTTTTCATGATAGTCTTTTCAACTTTTCACGATGGGAAAAAATGCTACTCTCTTCTCAGATTACTATCTGTTGGATTGATTTGGTTTATGATCCGGGAACTTATTTCATTTTTTGTTTACTATCTGTTGGAAAAAATGCCCAACCCCAAGGCCCCCATCCCGACCCGACGGGATGATGGGGAGGTTAATCGACTCAGTCAGCAAAATGATGGTAGGCTTTATACACGTGCGCACCAGAGATTCAGCCTTATTTCAGGTTCTGTAACATCCACACGGCCGCTGCGAGTTTCGAACCTTGGTCACTTGGTCCAATTTTCCCACCACTCGACCATTTGAGCTACCCGTGCGAGTATTTCCTTTTTTTGTTTCAACTTTGCTTAGGTGTACACCTTTAGTGTACATCTTTTATGTACACCCATTTGTGGACAGACAACTCGTCTGTTGGGGACAGACGGGTGTACATAAAAGGTGTACATCACACATTTTTCTTTTTGTTTTATTTCATTCACTATTACATTTTGGAATTTTTTCCCCCGGAAATAACCACACGTGGTGGCGGGAGTGTTGGGGAACACTACCCAAATTTATTAATATTAAGTTGATTACAAGAAAATTTAAGAAATGGTACAGATAAGAAAAAGCATACAGTCAAAAGCTAAAAGAAACAATGGTTTAACAATTGAAATTTTTTGAAGGTATCCCGACTGTAGCCGAAATGGATCTGTTATTCTGCTTCTGCTTTAAAAAAGAAGCAGAATCAGAATCAGTTCCAAACACCCCCTAAATTTGGAAATGAAGAACAAAATTGAGATCCATATTTAGCAACTAACACTACGGATACTACACTTGATCCACTCCGGTCCAATGATGATAATATATTTGAGGACTCCCCCCTCATTACTAACTTTTCTAATGCAGGTCATCCACATCCTCAGGCAGATCTTGACGGCTTTACTCCGGTGAAGACAAAGAAAAATAAAGGCAATTGTGAAATGCCCCCAAATGAAACTTACGGAACCCAAACAACTATTCTACGAGGTGGGATACACATCACACCCGATGATCACAAGAAGTCAATCCAGATGTCCGCAAAATGAAGATGACTATTACATTTACCCTGTTGATGCGAGCCTGGGCTCTCCACACAAACTAGCTGCGTCACTCGCGCGATACATGTCTTCTAAGCCGGAAGCAAAAACCTACTTAGCATCATTCGGGATTCCAAGATTAGGGCTTGCACGCATAGTTTGGAAAAATATTCAAATAGGTCCTTGTATTATTTTTAAATCATCACTTAAGTTTGTATATTAAAAAAGTATCATATAAGTATATCTACTTTACTAAATGAATCAATTTGACCATTTAATCAGTTTTGACCTGTAATAACAGGTTTTTAATACTTAAAAATTCTAAAAAATGTTTAAATGTTTGAAGAAATATATACAAACATTGTGAAAAATATTCAGAATATCAAAGTCAATATTTTTTAATTCTTAAAAATATTTGTATATTCGACATTTATTTAAAAGGTTTTCAAAGTTTATTTTTTCCTTTTTTCACATAATTTTGCCTGTTTTATAATTTTGTTTTACTTTAATGTTTTTAAATTTTCATCTATTTTTATATTTTTACTATTTTTATATTATTACTATTAGATTATTTATTCAAATTTATATGAATTTTTTAAGATTTATCAATATTCCTAATTTAATTTTTTAAAGAAATAACCTTCTATAGCAGGTCAAACTTCAAAGGGCTTGGTAGATTTTTTTTTTACTCCGGGGGGGGGGGGGGGGTTGGAGTAATCAGAGCTGAAACTCACTCAATTAAGTTTCAAATCCTCTTGTGTCTAGCGGATTTGGAACTCGAGACCTCCCAATAGGCACGGTAACCTCACAACCAGCTGGGTTGGAATGCTTGGTTCAAAAGGCTTGGTTGATTGTATTTTAAAAGTAGGCATACTTATATACTACTTTTTTAGTGCAGAGACTTAAGCGACGAATTAGAAATAGTAGAATAACTTATTTGACTCTTTTTTCTTAGGTTTTTTTCACTGTTAAACAATCCGCGTCTGATGTCTGAAAGGCGTAATCAAAATTATCCAAGTAAAACAATATACTTCGTTGATTTTTCTATATTCCAACAAGGTGACGGTTGATGAAGGGAAGATTTCTCTAAAGTAAATAAAAGCAAAATTGCAATAATAAAACCTAATATCTTTATCCGTGCCATGCACGAGATAAAATGATTTTGGGTTTTTAGTTATAGTATGTGCGTGCGCGCTTTGACATATGTACGAGTTATTATAACTAACGGAAAACCACTTATTTAGTCCATTATAACATTGGTTGATAATGCATGTTCTCATTTATTGAGTTTATCTTATTTTTGAACCAATTACCTAAATGTGTTTCATGTCTATATTTTCTAATTAAAAGAGCCATTATTTATAATTCTCAATTGCATCCAAATGAAATTAGTCTTTTCAATCATTTTTACCTAAACAAAAAAATTGCTTAGTGCCTATTCTTATCCATTAAATTTCATTGGTGGCTTACTGTTTTTTTCAAAACTAACTACACTTTTTTGTAATTTATTTAATAATGAGTGTATTCAACATTTTTTAAGATATTAGCCCTTCTAGGATTTAGAATACAATAAATTAGTCATTGTTTCTTTAAGAAGAGAGTTTATTTTGTGACATTCTGATTTTTAATAAGGGCGATTGGGGTGACATAGTCTGATAACACGATTAGTAGTGGTTGATATAAATTTCATTAAATTGAGTTGTTGAGGGTATTATTATGATTTTATTAATTAAAATAAGTTCAACTTAAACGAATAAAGGTTGCATGCTTTAATCTTTTAGTAGGCATTTTTTATCCGAATGTGAGATGAACTAATTATATAAAAAGATTCTCAACGAAACCTAAAAAGACATATGTCCCATATTCAGCAATGAAATATGATCTCAATTTTCATGAGCAAATATTACTATATTAAAGCATCTCAATTTTCATTGACCAAATATTAAAGTTACCCCTTAACACGGCCTACTTTATATATCTAATTCTTAAAAACATCACTTTTAGTGTCAGGATATGATTGCGATATAGATAATTAATTAACATTCAGGGTGCTGAAACTCTCAGTCAAAATATATCAATATTATGTTAATATATACACTAATATAAAAAATACGATTAGCTTTCATATATCTGTTTAAAAAATTGATTCCAGTAGAAAGGTGAGCATAAATTTGAGATGACATTAAGACAATTGTGTATTTAAAAAATTTTAACACTTGCAATTTTGTTTTTTTTTTAATTTTTTCCCACTTTCATTTGATGATGTTTCAATCTTTTTGGATTTTCGGAAATAATTTAAACGTTATTACAAAAGTCTTGACACAATTTTATTGAAATGATTTGGCAGAGCTTAAAAAGATTTAGATTTTTCATATATTCCACTTTTATTTCGATTTAGTACGTGTAGTTATTAGATTTAATAAAATTAAACAAATTTTAAAGGATTATGTTAACATATACACTAATATAAAAAATAACTTTAGCTCTCATATATTAGATTAAAAAAATTGATTCTAGTAGAAAGGTGAACATAAATTTGAGATAACATTAAGACAATTGTGTATTTAACAAATTTTAACACTTGAAATCTTGTTGTTTTAATTTTTTCCCACGTACTTTCATTTGATGATGTTTTAATCTTTTTGGCATTTTTGGGAATAATTTGAAAGTTATTAGATAAGTCTTGACACAATTTTATTGAAATGATTTGGAAGAGCTTAAAAAGAATTTCTCATATATTCCACTTTCATTTCCGTTTAGTATGTGTAGTTATTAGATTTAGTAAAATCAAACAAATTTTAAAGGGTTATTTTGTATCCACTCATTCGATTATATCGTCCTCTCGTTTCACTATCTACATGCATCATTAGAAATTACTACTCTCTCTTTTCCGTTAAGATGATCTCATGTTTTCCTTTTGGTTCATCCACTAAGATTGTCCGATATTAAGTTTGATAAAAATTGTGTGATTCTAAATCATTCTTACTTTATCAATACAATATCAACCAATTAAAAGTTGTAGTTTTGAGCGTAGTCAACTTTTTTGAAGATATTAGTCCTTATTTTTCTTAACCGACAATTCAAGTACATTTTGAGAAATAATTTTGATGATTATATAATATAATAGGACCATTGAATATAACCGTGCTGTTAAAATGTATTATTTTTAATATTTGATAATTAAAATATCATTAAAAGTGCTAATTAAAAAGGGTCAAAATTCGTTATTATATAAGGGAAACTTTGATCCAATTAAAAACATCCGTGTTACTCTAATTAGTGTTAGTTCAGGATATTAGAATTTGTAGATAAGGAGATTTGTTGAATCTAATAATCCAATATTGAGTTCTAAATTTTAGGCAGGACTCATTTAAGATGTTTTTTATTAGATTGAAATTTTCTAATCTCCTCTAATCTATTCAGATATCATTTTGTCTATGAATATTGAGAAAACTTTACATAAATAACGTTTAGGATTGCGTTGAATTCTAATGGAACCCAACAAAACTTTCCGTAATTCATATCGTAGAAGAACTCGAACATGTTTATCTTTATGTATATAACAATGGAACTGTGAGAACAATAATGGTACGTTCCCGCCGGTCCAAGCTGTGTATATCACCTGTGATAACCGCTTTTCTAATTATTTATTTAATTCTCTCTATAATTTTGTTTCTTATGTTTATAGGGTGAAGAAACTTTGTACGTAACGGAGTATTATACTTCGTATTTTTTTGTTTAAAGGGTGCATGCATGTTATACTACACTGTTGCAGTCATGGTACGTACTTTAATTGGATTATTGGATGCAAGCTGACTCCGAATACTTACAGGTATTTCTACAGAAGTAATATAACTATTTACTTT